TTATGCAGTCTAGAGTATCGCTACCTCCCATAGTCCATGTCAAAGGTGAAGTTTTTCTCGTAAGAAACGAGCACAGATAAGAGGGCAGATTGCTTCGTGAGAATAAAACTCTACTTGTAGTAACAAAGTGAATGTGTTCAATGCTAAAGAATAGTAAAAGTAAGTCGTACATCTCATAGTTATCCTACGGAGTTCCAGTTTCTCTGAGGTTTCAACTTGCCTGTTAGGAAAAATCGTTACTGACAGGTCGCACTCTTCAGTTCTCGATAAACACTTACTTCTCTACTGTTGAATATTGAAAGAGAGATGCAGATCAAGGTGGAGAATTGTACTTTATCCTTTTGGATCTTATTTGAGTGTTAGGAAGATAAGTGCCAGATGTTGGTCGATGTACAGTTTTTTTGCCCATTCGGAGATTTTTCGAGGGCAATTGAACTGCTTACCGTCCCCGACATGGTATGTTCCTGTTTCTCACGTGAGTCCCCAATCTTTCATCTGGGGAAACCATAGTATGAGTATGACGAAATGCTGAGTTGTGGGCAGAAGTCAGACATCATGTGGACCCGGACCTCACCCTGACCGGAAGAGTGTTCCATCCATCACACCACTAGAGCCGATCTCATTCTCTCAGTTCAATAGTTTCTGTGCCATAGCCTTGCATCACGATATGTCTTCAGAATGTGTCCAGACAAATCAGAGTCTGAATCTTAAGCTGCGATGACATCGGGAAGAGATGATAAGCGACCTCGTGAACTATCTATGAGAGGAGCGTTGTGTCCAATATGGTGGTTGTTCAGACAGGTCGCTAATCGAAGTCAAACACTTCGCTGCCTCCCCGAATTTTATAGACTTCTTTCTTTTCTCGCTCTTGTATTGTGAGTAAAATTTATCCCGAAAGATTGTGGAGTACACCTTCTGCTGATTTCTCATCCATCCAAGTGTTTTTGTAGAAGTGCACCCTCAAGTAGTAAAAATATAATCCGTTGCAGATCTCATGTCGCTGAATCTGTACACACCCGCTAACGGTCTTTACCGTACTCATGTCACTTGGGAAGACATTGAGGAGGACATGCAACGAGAACTTGACACAGTTGCCTCTTTTGGTCCCAACAAGACCGCTAAAGACATCGGAGACTTAAATGTGAGCTATAATATGTGCATCTCTGCAATTCACGTAGTGCTGCTAGTCAAGAAAGATTGTTTTCTATTCATTTATTCACTGGAAAGCCTACTTTTGAAATGTTTCGTGGGACTCCGCTACAAGCGGTAATACAGTGACCATGGAAAGTCATTCAGTTCTGAAGCAATTGAGTACCTTAATGGCACAACTTTCCGCCACGGAAATTTTCGAAAAATTGCTTCCATAGGAACTGCAGGTTCAGTCACAGAAGCCCTTCTTTGACGCTGAATACAGTTGTTATAATCGCTACCAGAACCCTCAATTGCCTCCGAAAATGTTTACAAATAATGAGGTGGCGCTAATGGTGGTGTGAGTGTTTGGGATGGATGTGATGTTTGTGACTAAACAGAATGGCGAGTGCCTAGTTTTTGCTTGTTGTAGAACCTGTTCTTACAAAACGCTTACATATTTATGAATCATTTCGCTGGTGTAAGTGGCAGGGTACATTGAAGTAAAGGATAAACGGGTAAAGTCTTCGCCGTTGATCAATCTCTTTGTGGCACACATTCTACTTCCATTCAGAATCGTGGTGGCCTATACAATGACTTGCGGTGGCCAGCCGATGTACAAGTCAGTGTTTTATCCTCCCAGACGAATCTGGTACCAATTTACCGTCCCCGGAGGGTAGAAGGCTTGGCCTGGGCGGGAGTCGACCCGGGATTCGAACCCGGCGCCGCGCGAGTGGTAAGCGCGCCACTTGTCACTACACCACCTCCGCGCGTACATTATGTAACACAATTATTCTCTTGGATTGATCTTTAGAACTTCATCTAATTCGCTCACACAAGTTGTAGTTGTTAGGGGCATGACTAAAAGTATTCCTGAGATTATTGTCAGGGTTGTCAGGGCTTCGTAGGTGTCTTATCAGCGACAATTCTCGCTGTATAGCATTTGCACTTTTGAAGTCGACTAGCAATTCAAGCAGTGCTCAGGAAAGAGATATCAGCAGAAATCACAAAAAACAAATACGAACTCACCCAGCAAGTTCCATTCTAGTACCTGGGGGAACGTAATGTGGGAAGCGGGACGAAACCGACCAATGCATAACTTTGGGGCCAATGCCAGTCCGGTCAGGAGCCTTTTCGCTAGTGATGATTCTAGCCTGTGCACGTTCGCTCATTCTGTGTATACTGCGGGGACTTATCGCAAACCTTTCTTGAAATGAATTTGACCACAGGAAGAAAAAATAAAGCTTCCTTCGTTGACAAGCCCCTCCTTAGGATGTGGCGCAGTTTTTTTTAATTAAAATCCCTGGGATGCGGTAGGCTGTGTACTTGGATTGAACCTGGAGGCTGCCAAGCAGTGCGGGCGATATCAGGTAAAAAGAACTCAGCGATCTAGAGTCCAAAACACAAAGGAAATGATAGGAAACAAAAAAAAATTTAAGGGAACAACAAAAAGAGTTAAAAAAGTAACAAAGTAAAAAGGAAACAGAAAAGAAATAAAAATAGACACACGAAAAAGGAAAGCGCGAGGAGGAACTACCATGTGACCAAAAACATTCATGCCTTGGAAATCTATGTAAGAGGATGCACTAGAAGTAGAGGAGACCCAAAAAGACGAAACTCAGACAGAAGGGCTACAGCGCCTTATGATATGTAACTCCTCGAAATGAAGAGTGGCATGTGTGTGGGCATATGAAGCTAGAAAGAAGAAACAACAAGAACAGAGCTGTCCCGGGGCGGTTTCGAAGTAACAGCATGACTTTGGATTAAGCCGTTATCCAAGAGGTAGGGTTTCTAGTGAGCACTGACGCTAGGATGTGGCGCAGTTTTTTTTGAATTAAAATCCCTGGGATGCAGTAGACTGTGTACTTGGATTGAACCTGGAGGCTGCCAAGAGGGTCTTGAGGTAGTTCCATTTCGGTAGTTTATCATGACTTCGTCCAACCTAGCACAAGATAACAGTTGCCTCAAATTGAAATATCCTACGGAAAACCCATTATACGCCATGTTCAACTGTCAGGCCTACCCCACCTCAGGGACAGCGAACGTACTTCCATTCACCATCGTAGGAAAGTGAATGTAATATGACTTATGGAATATTTTGCTTGGGCCCGCTGACGCACATGTCAGATGTTTCAGTACTCCCCATGAATGTACGTACTGATGCTTGAGGAACGCATAAAGTTCCGTTATTCCAGCAATAACGAGCCTAATTTGATCAACAAAGTCGCGCGTGTTAAGCGGACCACTGCAGCACATCCTTTTCATTAGTACTCCTAAGGACGATCACTACATTTTATCACCTTATACACTGCACATCGGAATCAAACAGCTGAGAGGAGAACTGTTCTCTTATTAAAGGTTCAAAAGAGTCGCAGGCGTCTCCCGGAAATTCCTCTGCTGTCTCGTTGTAGCAGAATTCTTAGTCGAACTGTAAGGTTATCATGAATGGGGCGTATTCGGCGGAAATGCATTATACACTTCCCTTTCAAAGGACTTGTGAATTTCAAGGGTTCGATGCGCATTTCATTTCAGGGGTTCATGTCAAAAATGCTGCTCATCGATCCAGATTGGCAACACAAGGATAAAGAGCTCCCCTCAAGATTTGTAGTGAAGGTCAGTTTGATCAAAGTATTTTCCTTGAATACACGTTTCACGAGAGCAAAGAGAGACAGCGTAATTTATGACGTATGCAACCTTTTAAAACAATCTATAGTTATTCTTCAGCTTCTCTCTTCTTATAGCCTCGGCATGGTAGTTGTGAGTGTTC